ACATTGACATTCTGCCACGGACATTTTGCTTTGTCGTGTCGCTTGGAAGTCTACCCTTTAAAATTGTGTCGATTTCAACCACCTAACAAATTTTGCGACCTCTCTATATTCTCCGATTATCCAATACAAGTGGTCCTATGATGATAAAAGCAAGACCGAATCGCCCATCAATTTGTGATTAATGAAGAATTTTCGAATTGAGATCGAAATGTATAGAATTGTTCGTTTGATTTCAGATGACCGCATTTTTGCTGGATAAAAAACTGTTGGAATGGCTGGAGAAAGCTATGAGACATACGGCAACGAACATGCTATGGATTAAGAAGTATAAGTCAACTGTAGATAAATGGTTGAGCGATAACAGTGATGTATTCGAGAGGTCCGATAATAGTGCCAGCTCGATGGCAATCGCGTCGTTCCTCGTTATATTCTCATTATTTATTACCCGATTTTATTAACGCGTAGTTTTAATAAAATAGAGGCACTGGAACGTAGTTTTAATAAAATCGACGTACTAGATCGTAGTTTTAATGAAGTACAAAATGACCAACCGAGCGAACGAATGTGATCAAGAGTTAAATGTTTTAGAAATAATATACCAAGAGTGTACTTAAACAAATCGCAAAAATGTGACAGAGATACGTACGGCTCAAAGTGGGCCAGTAGGTTTTACAAAATAGTATGTATATATATATACATACATATATATGTATGTATGTATATATGATACCAAGAGTGTACTTAAACGAATCGTATAAACGCGACAGAGATACTTAGGGCTCGAAGTATGCCAATAGGTTTTACAAAAATACGTACAGACAGGGAAAATAAATATTTCTTTATAACATATAACTAAAAAAGACCATTTTCGGCACCTGTAACGTGGACCGAAAATAGAATTTTCTGGCCCTAGGGTCGTAAAATGTCATTGTTGGTCCACTAATATACGCACGCACACACGCGCGCGCGCACACACACAGATACATATACATACATACATACATACATACATACATACATATATATCTACACGCACGCGCGCGCACACACACACACACGCGTATCTATGTATGTGTACATATATATGTACATTATATGTCATGCACTTAAATTGACGATGCGAGAAACTATATTTTCGATCTATCTTGTAGACGTAAAATGGTCTTCTTTATGCCCTTTTTATGAGAAACACGCTGAACAACACGGGTCGAATGTACTTTTTCATACTCGGATGATGATTTGAGCAGCTCGTGTTCGTCTTGGGCACCTATGGTGCCTTTGACTATCACTCGTTCTCAAACGTCAATCTCGCCTGGAAAAGCCCATTTTCGGCCCTTGATGTACAATGTACTATTATATTTTCTCGATGAAAGTATGTACGACAAAGAAATAATGAAGGGAACTGTAATATCATGAAATGTGTTAAAATAATTAATAATTAAACACTTCATAGGAATTAATTGAGAGGAAACAGGAGGTTCTTTATATTTTAAGCTAACAGACATTCTTTCACAAGTACCATTCATTTTAATGTTCATTTCAATTAAATTAGAACTGCATATATTTTTGCATAAAACAGTTCGTTTAATACCGCATGAATGGGAATAGCGTGAGGATGCAATTGATAGAAATTTTTTAGATTTAATGTACGATAAGTTTGTTTAAATGTGACAGAAATATGTACATTGTTCTCAAAGCATACTAATAGAGTTTACTGTTTTCTATTCGATATGATTGTTTTAATGCGCATAGATTGTAAATAAATATTTTTATACCCTGTCAATGAAAGTATGTACAGCAAAGAAGTAATAAAAGAAACGTCTTATCATTGAATTATTTCATAGAGTGATATTCACTCAGGTTCTCGCAGTTTTCGCACTAATGTGTGCCATCGTGAACGCGCTTCCGGTTCAAGACGACGCTGGATTTAGCATGAAAACGAAAGAAATGAAGTACCGTTTCCCAAAAACCACGGCTCCTATACACTACGACCTAAACGACCCAGACCTCGGGGACACCTTTACAGCAGGGCTTTCGTAATTTATCCCACGGCCGGAAAGTGGGGACGACGCGACCAGGGTGAGGACCAATAGTTGGTGGGGGTATGCAGTGATTTTCACGGTAGCGCTGTGAAGAGCTTCGCGAACGCGCATGAGCACGCATGAGGGGAATAGTAGTGGGGATCGAAATACGGGCGAAAAACAGGGGAAGCGAGCCTCGTGGGATAAATTACGAGAGCCCTGCTTTACAGTCGACGGCGAAACTGTCATAAAATGCGAAGTCCTCGAACCAACGTCAGACGTCAAACTTCATTTGCAGAATTTGAATGAGAGCTGCATAGAACTGAGACGGGAAAATGGGAACGCAATTAAGCCACAATGGTGCAACGAAAATGACGAAATGGGTATCGTGACAATTCATTTCCATTTTTAAATTATTTTGGTGTCAGTAAGTATTCTAGGGCACCTATCTTACGTTCCGTTTTAATGCTTATAAACATAAATCGGCAAAACACTTATTGACACCGAAAAACTTTAATCTACGATAACTTTTTAATTAATAAATTCAGAGCATAAGTATGTTAGTACTTTTATGCAGAGCATAAAAAACTGCATCGATCGATGTACTCAAAAACATAGGTTCTTATTTAAAAGAGGGATGTAGTTGCGCATTTCTGATGCACCTATCTACAAAAATGCAGAAAATTATTTGCATATCAAGCACCATCTAATACCATTTAACTTTTGCTTATTATATTTTTTCTATTTATAACCGTATAGGAGCTACAGCTTATTTCAGTTCCGTGGGACACCCTGTATATTAACCTACACAACTTAACGGAATTACTATATTAATAATAAATTACATGTTTACTCGCATTTCGTTTACTGTTGTCAATTACTCATTGATCGATGGATAAGATGAATCAATAAGGACATTGCTAATATTTTTATGATAATAAGAAAGTTATCAGTATTTTCTAACTACCAAATATAGCAGAATAATTAACGGAATTCTGTGCTGCCAGGTATGATTACGAAAATTGGAGACTATTTACGAACAAACTGAATGCTGGAAAAATCTATCAAGTTTATAAGAATCATCTAATGGATAAAACAAAAATTATCTGTTGCACAGTGTATTTGCTGTTTCCTCTTTCAAGTATTCATATTTTCCCCCTTTAAAGACTAAATGAGACTTTATAAATTATAATTGATAAATCCAAACAACGTCTCAATAGCCAGTAAGTACAACATATAATTTGGATAACAGAAGAAATATCTTTATTTCCCATATAATGTTGACCGATTACGATAATATTTATCGTCATCAAACATTAAATCAGGCTAAGGGATCATTAATGATACGCGACATAATTCCTTCCAGGAGTTATAAAATAGATTAGTGAGACATTCTTACAAACGTAAACATTCTTACAAAAGAAAGAATTTCTGTACTAATTCACGGTACGTTGTCAAGCCAATTATACTTCTAACGATTTCAACCTAAACTGTATTACTTACTCCATACAAAATTCATCGAATGCGTTTGATAAAATAAACAACTATCAACGGATTTTTAAAAAATGGTCTACAACAACAGAAACATGATTTTACCACATAACCGATATGAGGACGATACAATAACGCCGATCACGACAACAACGATCGATGAGATTACCAAATTCAAGCATATTTCGATAATAGCTCCACCTTATAAAGCCACTTTATAAAGCAGGACATCTGTAAACGTGTGTAGTAAACGCATGTTGTACATCGCCGGCCAACGTGCAAATACACTCCTGTTACGCTAACCGAATTTTGCTCTTCGCTCGTTTGCAAGGTACGTTATCAAGCCAACTATACTTCGAACGATTTCAAAAGATAATAAAAGAAGAAAATGATAATGACAATAAGAAACAAAACGATCGACGAGATCGAATTCGAAAACGCGCGATTCTCCAACCGGTAGTAACTGTTAGTTAACATTATTATTTTCTAACTCGGCACTGATAATTGCAAGTTATGCATATACATGGTATCTCAGCCGATATTAATATCTTGATAACTTCGGTATTGTGGCATGTAGCGAAAAATGTTACATAAGAAACTTGAATGGTATAGAGTGGGGCATATTCTGGTATTATTAGTTTTTCCGTCGGTAGACGCGTCAAGGATATATGAAGGTCAACTTTGTTTCTTAAATAGAATGAGATACTTTTCATGCATCAAGCGATGCAGCTAAACATTCTTTATAAAAAAAGTACTGACCTACATATATCGAAAAACTAATCGTTGAGGAGATATTTCAATTTAAATAATTATAAAATTCGTTCTTACATTAGCGTTTATTTACAGGTATGGTTCAATATAACAATCATTTGCATTACAGCATTTTTAAATCGATGAAGTAAGGACTGGTCTACGTTATTTAATGTACCGGCTGATATTTTGTCACGTTTATCAATCATATGCTACTTCATATCACTCACTGTAGTTGAAACTTCGTACTGACATTACATATGAAGCAGTGTATTGTCGGTGAATGTTGCAAAATATCAGCCGATACATTAAATAACATAGGCCAGTCCTTACTTCAACCTGCGGAAAAACTAATAACCCACTCGATACCATTTTCCTATGAAACATTTTTCGCTACATGCCACAATACCGAAGTTATCAAAATGTCAAAATCGGTTGAGACACCCTGTATAATAGTTAAAGATATGAAAGTCGTAAATTTATCGCAGTACGCGAACGGTTCCTCATTTGTATTTATCCGTTTGAATATATACACGGNTATTAATAGTGGTTGATATTTTCAGTTTTCAAGATTTTAGTATTTACTTGTAATGTAACATTCTAAGTATTATGCTCATATCATACTAAGTCGTTAAATAGATTTCATTCTGCACAAGCAAATGTCTAAATACACGGTGTCCCAGATAATATGTTAGAAATGTGATTCTGTAAACGTTTCTGAGCAACAATTTTCTTTGCCAAAATGTAAAGTGAGGCATGTTTAAATTATTAACGAAAAACACTGACCAATAAGAGGGCGTGTAGGGCCAGCGCTAAACCACGACCGAGCGTTACGATCCGAGCCAAGCTACCCGTAACGCGGCGCGGATCCTACGCGTACTCTCATTGACCAGTGTTTTTCGTTAATAGTTCAAAACCATGGCTCGCTTTGCATTTTACCAAAGGAAATTGTTGTTCAGAAACTGAACTCCAGAATTACCACTTTTCGGCTCTAACACTTTTTCTGGGACACCCTGTACAAAAACGGCTGGTGCATTTAATTACAGTATAATAATAGGAAA